GGCGGGGGTTCAGGGGGGCTTGCCCCACTGGAAACTATAATTCAAACACACACATATATATATATATAATATAAACAATAACATGAGCGGACAATCGGGGTAGATCTAATTAGAGTTGGAACAGGCCGAGCTTTTTTGCTTCGCAGCACTCGCCAAGTCGCAATAATTATGCAAATGAGCTCCCGTGCTCATCTCTCGCCCTCCATTGTACTTTGTCGGACCAGGAGTAGGCCTAGGCCTAGCCTAGCAGTAGCAGAGTCGCGAGCAAATAAGAATAGTGGAGCACGTGATTACATTGACTAATTAGCCTCAAGGTGTCAGGGTCATGGGTCAAAAAGGGCATGGTAGCATGGTCGTGATGACTGAAAAACTCGGTAAGAGACATCTGTTGTGGACACAAATAACGGGATTTGCTCGGGGCACGGGTTCTCGTGCGGAGGAACACGGAGATCTCGTGCGGTTAGGGGATCCCCCATAGAATAGTTCACGAGAAGTGTACATATAATCAGTCAATCACAGCTTTCAAAGGGACAATCGGATGAGAGAGAGAGTAGGGGACAGAGCCTTGGTCTCTTCACTGCAGGAAACATATACCATGTACTACATTTATAAATATATTAAATATTTATCAACCACGGTAAGAGTTTTCACTCATCATTTTATGTCGTTTTAACTTGTGGTATAGTGCTGTGTTCAGCAACAACGTCAGTCGATTGTTGGCTGTCGAAGGGTGAGGACGTAGAAGAATAGCGGGCCACTAGGCACCAGGGGCGCCATAGCGAAAGTAGTTCCAACCGGTGGTCCGGTAGAGTACAATCTTACCTCGCCAAACTTTGTGCCACTCTTTTTTAAATTATCTAATTTTGTATCGGCCGTAGTCTGCCGCAGACCTTCAAAAAGCAGCAGTCTGCTTTTCGCTTTTGTGGAATTATGACATGATCTTCATTACTTTATATTCCGTGTTTTTAAAATATTAATAGATTCTAGATCTAGAACGTATATTTTAAAATAAAACTGTGGTATACCGTATTGCTATGGCTAGATCTAGATCTAGATCTATAGGCTAAGCGTGCTGATAGAAACCGAGTGACAGATTACTCTGAGATTTATTTTCAGAACAACTGATGCGACACAAACTGACAGTGACAGAACTGTCTCCAACGTCATCGTAATGTCTACGGACCAACATCTTAACCTACAGATCTAGGGATAAAATTAACTAATACACATTGAACTTTTCGAGTACAACTACTAACAAACACAGAAACTGGCTTGTTTGAGCAACAAGTTGTCAAAAAATGTACCTCGGTTTTATGATATTCCTGGAAAGCAGGATGTTGCCATTTTGACCAGGAAAACATGGTGGACCCAAACAGGAAGTGTCGTAATACACATAACGCCTCCTGATTGTTTACGCATGCGTTGTCTGCTTTTCTGCTCAATATGGGAATCAGAACGGTATTGGAATGGTTGTTAACAGGCCAATAGTCATGTACACATTAGGCCTATGTACATTGTAATTTACTATTGTAAAAATACAGAAAACTTGATGGAGAATTGGATATTTAATGATGTTATATTATTATGATGACCAACAATTTCGACCTTAGTGAGTTCACTTCACTTTCGTCTGTTAAATTAAACAAAGATAAGCTATTGTAAGCACAAATGTCTCTATAATCTTCTCACGTCTTTGTATGCGGGTCTAAAATCGATTTTTGGACCACCAAAAAGATACCTTTAACGTGCGCAACTTGCACACGGGACCTCCGAGATTTTTCACCCTTGTCCGAGAAGGTTAGTGTATATATTATTTTCCATAAGTTCAGGGATGTGGCTGAAAGAAAGCAGTAAGAAGGAGCCAAGGAGTAGCAGTAGAAAGGCTGCAGAAAGAGTCAGGAGCCCAGAGAAGGGGACAAAGGAGGTGACGGGGTGGGGGCAGAAAGTGGAGACGAAAGCAGACGACAGAACATTGTTAGAGAGCAGGAAATGATGTGAAAGGAGAACATTCCCGTCGCTCTGGATTCAAACCCGGGACCTTTGAATGAGAGGTGAACATCTTAACCTCTAGGCCACGAGAGCCCTCAGGGCCCAAATTATATTTTCAAAATTGGATGAAGTGATGAAGTTTTGTTTTTTAAAGTTTGTTTTGTCACTAATGGGGTGTCATGAAAAATACGTACACATTGGTAAATTGAAAAAATAGAGACAGAGAGAGAGAGAGAGAGAGATAGAGATAGAGGTAGATAGATAGATAGATAGATAGATAGAGAGAGAGAGAGA